CTGTGATGTCCTTCTCTCATTATTGACTAAACTGCAAAATATATTCGGATGTGATTATATAACATTGTATTGTTTTCTGTTTCCTGTTTCCATGTAGCTTATCCTCCGATAAGTATATTAAAACACCATCTGGTAATTATTTTGTGAAGAACTCTGTACGTAAAGGCTTGCTGCCAGAAATCCTTGAGAATTTATTATCAGCCAGAAAAAAGTAAGTTATTGCACCTCACAATCATGGACATGCAACTCATCCAAACTCAAACATGGCGTAACAATACTACTTTCTTTGTAATTGTGTTTCAGAGCCAAAGCTGAACTGAAAAAAGAGGAGGACCCCTTTCGTAAAAAGGTTTTGGATGGTCGTCAGCTAGCTTTGAAAATTAGCGCAAACTCTGTGTATGGTTTCACTGGTGCTCAAGTTGGCAAACTGCCATGTTTGGAAATTTCACAGGTAAGTTGCATACATTGAAAATAATCGTTAATTTCTGTGACGCATACTTCATTGATATCGCTTTACAGCCGTTCTGAGATTTATTCGGACAGTCAGTTAGCAAGATGACTTGCAACTTTGCAAAACACTGGTCTTTGCTCAATCTAGACTTGTTGGTGCCACTGGATTGACTGGCGCGTCGTTTTGGATTCACTATTTCATAGGGGTTGTTGGAATGGTGAATTGTAAATATTATCTAGCGTGCATGTACAACAACCATTCTTTATATTTATAGCGTAATTATTTTCAGTAATTCTAAAAATTGCAAGTTGGGTGTTTCTTAAATTCGTTGAAAAATGTTGCTCATTTTAGTCAGTTGTACCCATTACAAAAATGGACTGGACATAATGACGGTTGTTTTAGTTTAGCACAAACTGACTGTACTCTGTTTCAGGGCATAATGACGGTTGTTTTAGTTTAGCACAAACTGACTGTACTCTGTTTCAGGACATAATGACGGTTGTTTTAGTTCAGCACAAACTGACTGTACTCTGTTTCAGGGTTCAGCACAAACTGACTGTACTCTGTTTCAGGGTTCTGTTCAAAATTGAAAATTTATTATAAGCTGGAAAGAAATGTCAAAATCGAGAGATGCTGCTGTTTCTGTGAGGAATGAAATAATTTGGTTTTTTTTCGTACGGTTTGAGCCAGCATAATATTACTGCAAAAGTTCATCTTCCCAAGTCGACAGTTCATAGAATCATTGCTCATTACCGCACTCCGAGTTTTATCCATGCCTGCAAGATAACTGGCAGACATAGACAGAAATCACAGTAATTACAGTAACATTTGCGCATAGATATTCAGCATTCACGCACTGATAGAAATCATGAACATCGTGCTTGGAGTCTGACAGTATTACGATTGTACCCTCGTCATTTTCAAACTGCAGTTGAAAAAGTGATTCGCTCAAGCATGGACGTTTCAATCGTAAGGCGCTTTTGATTTGACAAAGTCTATCAAACCATTATAATAAAGTTTCTCTCTCCCACCTTGGTATGAAATCTGGATTTGATACATAATGTACAGTTATGTAAAAACAACTTTTATTTTGGCTTAAAACTGTCACAAAACTGCTGCGCGTCCAATGCTAAGAAACTTTACTTTGAGCCTTCCCGCCAACAAGGAGTTCATTAATACCTGGGGTCACTCAACACTCGGGAGTTGTTTTGTAAATTGCGCTATGTCAGGTGGACTCAGATGGTTATATCAATTTAAAATAACATTTTGATAGTATATACAACATATAACATATAATGTATGGTAACCAACACGTGTCATTTTGAAAAAAACAGCATTTTACCCGCATCTAGCAAGATAATGGAATGATCCCAACAGTGGGTATGTTAATTCGACAGTGCCATCAAGTCTAGATTGGACAAAGACCCAAGTATTTTGCATAGTTGCAAGATGTATTGCTAACTGACTGTGCAAATAATTCTTAGAATGGCTGTAAAATGTGTTCACTGACATTACCTGCCAGAATACAGTAGGTCCTGCATGCATGTTTTACACAATTTGCAAATAAGCTCCGTCACTATCACAAACTGTCTAAGATGTATATGAAGCATTTCTCTGAGGATCATCTGATTTTATTTAGAATTACTTGAAATGTATTTGTTACTTCTTCAGTTCACATCTTATATTTGCCTAAATAAGAGAATTTACGATATTCAAGAAAGGACTTGTACTTTACTACAGTTTTATGTTAGGGGAATATACATGTATACATGTTTATATTTCATTTGTTGAAGAGTGTTACAGCATTCGGTCGACAGATGATAGAACAGTCAAAACAGCTAGTGGAAGATAAATATAATGTTGCCAATGGTTACGCACATGATGCTAAGGCGAGTCTTGTTTAAATTTTCTATTTTCTTTTATTTTTCTCTTGTTTGATTGTTTTTTGACAATAATTCTCATAATTGTTTATTGAGATGTAGTCTCTACTCACCCCAGATTGCGATTATTTCCTGCAGGTCATATATGGAGATACTGATTCAGTAATGGTCAAATTTGGACTACCCACTGTTGGTGAAAGCATGGATATTGGAAAAGAAGCTGCCGAATACATCTCTAAACATTTCCCTCCACCGATAAAATTAGAATTTGAAAAGGTATTTCCTTGAGATGTATATATATCATATTTTGTTATCCCTCTCACACATGTACATGTTTTGGCCAATGTGATGTCTATAATTTCAAATAGGAATATCAAAGTATGGTGCCATTCTTTCATCTATGCAATGCATGTTGGAAAGCTTTCAAAAATTTGGAAAATATATGGAAAACATTGTGCAGGTCATCTAATAATTTGTCTATACTTTTTTAGGTGTACTTTCCATATTTGTTAATCAGTAAAAAAAGATATGCAGGACTGTATTTCACTCGTGCTGATGTCCATGATAAAATGGACTGCAAAGGTATAGAAACAGTCAGAAGAGACAACTGCCCTCTAGTGTCCAATCTTATAAATATATGTCTACAGAAGATTTTAATTGACAGGTGAGTCATCTGAGGTGAATTCATCTTGAAACCATACATGCATTACAATTACTGATTTTGAATGTTCCAAATGCGTAGAGTTGATCTATACCACTCGCCTGTGTTTCCAACTAGCAATTAAAAAAATTACCTCAAATTAATGGCCATCATCTTTCAACCAACTTGCATCAGCCTTCACTGTTCTGCCTAAGCAAGACTTTCTTTGGCTATAGCATAATACTTTCATATTTTGGAAGTTAAAAAACCATGTCATGGTTATATTTGCTCAGTAAAACGTTCACATACCATCTCTTTTTTACTTCCTTTTCTCTGAAAAAATATTTTTGTTTTCAACTGGTAATCCACTTTTCTCAGCTGTATTATATTATTCTTCTAGCTGCCCCTTTTGTAGCCACCCATGCTCACTTTGCTATCTTCTAAACACTGTTTTGAATATGCCAATGACTTCATCCGATGTTGCATGTCTATTTTTTGACTTTTTATATTTTTGTCCTATACTCGCCCGTTTTACACCTGTAGTGATATTTTGTACAAATGAACATAAATTCACACTAGTGAATGTAAATGTACTTTTATTATATGAAATATGACAATTATAATAAACTTATTTAAATACTGATTTGAATAAAATAATTACTTTGTGGCTGATCAAACTAAACTGTGAAGAATCTTACCTGACCTACAAAACTAAAACTTTCATTTGCAGGATCCTGACGGTGCAGTGGGATCATGCTAAACAAATCATTTCTGATTTACTGTGTAACCGAGTAGATATCTCACAGTTAGTCATCACTAAAGAATTGACCAGACTGGCAATGAGTATGCTGGTAAACAGCACAT